CGATTCTTAATCAGGATTCAAGCATTTCTACGCGTGTGACAATAATCCCTTACGCTTAAGATTAAAATCACAAAATTATTTTGACGCCAGGAACTCATATTTGCGTTTACTTTTAAATCATCGTTTTCGCTATCAGAACAAAATTCTCGAATCATTTTCCAATTTTGCACCGTGATAATTTTTTCATTGATATTGTTCGTTCTTTATGGTCGGGCCAAAGTTCAACATCACTATAAACTGTTTGACTGGCTAATGATTATTATGAAATTGTAGAAAACCTTAAGTGAAAAAGAGATGAAAATTCAATGTGCTATTCAATTTTCTTTCGGCGTTTTTGTAACAAAAATACCGATTCCTTTATTTCTGCTCATTTTTTTGTTCCACGAGCTCTACAAAAGAAGCCTTGTGATGTTTTCAGCTTTTATAGCGGCTTTTTAACCCAGCATTCCCCATTTATTTGCCCCAATTTGAGCTTTTATTTGCATGAATATAACAGGCAGGACTTAATTTGGAGTTGTCATTAACTCTGACAAAATAATTATTTAAAATTTTTGCTGCCAGCAAAATTGAATCGTATGTATATTCATCAACATTCATGCAATATTATTAAATAACGAGCATTTCTTTGTCGTTTTTTAACTCTCTGCTACTAGAAATAATTTGGTTGATGTCAGTAGAAAAAAATCGAAATTATTCAATGTTGAATTTCAAAAATAAAATTTGCAAAAGTCGACACGAACAAGGCGAACCGTAGATACCGAGTGTTTCGCTAAGGGCTACTGGCCATTTCTCAGATGGTACTGGGCGTGAAAATCCAGGGATAAATATTTCATTGCTAAAGTGACTATAAGAAAATTCTGAAAATAATTTTTGACTTTACAAATTAAGGTATATCTTTAGTAAAATGGATAGAAAGTTTGACGACCTTTGCCTCATTTTGGTTGAAACCTCAGTGATGTACGATCTTGATTCAAGTGGAGGCAGCCATTGAAAAAATAATATTTTAAATCGCTGTAAATCCTAAACAACTTGTTCGATTTCAGTAATTTTAAGCTTGGTCAAGAGAGAAAAATGTAAGTACTATTCACTGTCGTATCCTGATACTTTTCAACAACGTTGCTAGAGGGTAAATTTTTTTTCGTTTTAACCAAAACTTACATGGTACAGTATAATTATTGATCATAATCGAAAAATAGTTAAATGTGCTAGAGAAATCGTGTAAACCGCAACTCGATATCATTGTTTGTTTCAGAGTTATAGCCAAAATAATAATTTTAACATTTATTGCTACAAATTACGCACTCTAGCGATGTTCCTTAGAACTGTCGAGCTCGACTCTATACGAAGTGAAACGACAAATCATACGAAAATTTTGCAATAGTCGAAATTTGAAATTTACTTACACAGATTCAGGAATTTTCCATGGGCAGATATCAATTTTAATAAATAATTATTTTTATGCAATGAACGGTTTTGTTTTTAATAATCCATTAACATAAATAATCTGCTTTTTATAAAATTTTCAGTGGTTTTGAGTGAAAATGTATTCCTGATGGCCAAATGAGACTAATATGCACATTTCACAATTTTTTTGAGAAAAGAAAAAAGTTAAAATGTTAATGGATTATTAAAAGCAAAACCGTTCAACTTTTTTCTTTTCTCAAAAAAATTGTGAAATGTTAGTCTCATTTGGCCATCAGGAATACATTTTCACTCAAAACAACTGAAAATGTTATAAAAAGCAGATTACTCCATTTGAGACTTTAAACTTGACAAAAGTTGTGTAGAAATATACCTTGTGCATAAAAAAATACTATATCAGCAGCAATCCCTGTGTATGTTGTAAAAATTAATAAAATATTATTTAAAACACACATAAACATATTCTCAAGCAATGTTAGATATTATTAAAGGCGGCAAGGGCAAAAATATCGCAGTTCTTCAGTTAGAAAAACATATAATCCAAAACAATGCTGTTATTTATTTTCACGTATAAAAATTTGTTGTTGCTGAAGATGTATAGAATTTGTGCTGAAGTGTCGCCAGATGTTTGTGCAAACCGCCAACTCCCTGTGGGTTTAATAAAGCTTGTCAATATAGTAATGTACTTTATTTCACTTTATTCCCCAGAGCAAATAGAAACCAAATACTGCGGAGTTTTATACTTTTGCTTTGGGAATTTGTTGTGTTGACACAAATGTATTACTTTAGTATTTCGGTTTTTCTTTATTCTCAGTCTCTGTTGTCAAAAACAAGCCGTAAATTGCAAAACATTGAACGACAGACGATCAGAACTACCATCAACTAAGTAATAATCTGTTGGCTAAAGTATCCACTAAGAAAAACTTTGTTCGTTATAAGTTCTAATTGAATCCGGTAGGTTCCTTTGTAGGCTTCATTGCCAAATTGTTTCGGTGAAATTTTTAGTTGAGGGATCAAGAGTTAATGGAGCGCTTAATAGAGTTCTGGACTTTGTTATCTACTATTAGTGAGCTTTCGAAACTTAACTATTATCACGGTTTACTTTATGTTATAAATTATACTGTAATTAGCTAGTCATGTTTCAGCTTTTGAAACATTTGAAAATATAAATTTTTTAAAACATTCTTTGATTTGCAAATTGTATTATTATTTTACGTTCGCATTTTTTACTTTTATTATGCTATTTCTTTGATTTTCGTACTTATTCAGAAGACATAAAGAATCTCACAAAAATTAACATATTTCTGCCGTTTTTGATGGTTGGCTCCAACTTAACATTGTTTGCCTGTAAGTTTGAAACGATACAACATTTATTAGGAAATCTAGTTAGGAAAATATAGCTATCGATCAAGCTCTGCGTAAAAACAAATGCCCTGTTATATCTTTATATATATCGAAGTCAATTTGTTCAAAAGTGATAATAGTTTATAATAGTTTTGCTTAACACCTGAAGAGGAAATAATTCGCCTTGGATCGCACAGTAGAGATCTGCTAAACGGTTATTTTTCTGAATCTGGTTACGTTGCAGTTCCACTTTGGTATTAGGTTCCGACATGTGGTTCCAAAACTAACATGTTGCTTAAAAAGCGTAAAAAGTGTAGAAATAGCGATAATAATGAATTTAGTTTATTAAAAAAAATAATTTTCAGCATTGGTAAACTAAAAATAATATATTCTAAAAACAAAAAACTTAAAATACTTAAAATAAAAAAAACTGATAATAAAATTGAGTGGTTTAAATAAAATATACGCTTTGCATGCGAATATGTTTATCAAGCTAATTTTAATTTAAAAATGAAATAACATTTAAGAATATTGTTAACGTATTCTTTTTACTAAGTCTAGTTCTTCGGTCGTTTATAATAGTACCCGCTTTCGAAAATAATCTCTCGCATGGAACAGAAGAACTAATATACTTATGTTTTTCTGTTATGCAACAAGTTTGTCAAAATCTTGAAAAATTTAATAATATTCTTCTTGTCTATCTTTTAGCTGAACTACCTGTGATTGATGCGGCACCACAGTTTAAGTAATAGCATTTTAATTATTTCCGCGTTTTATTAAGTCAACAAGAAAATTAAATAATCCACATTAACAGTAACACTTTTTCGGCCAAAACGTCGGTAAATGTACATGTTTCCATTTACTTTTGAATTGAAGAAGAAAGCTTGTCTCTTATAACAATAACAAAGAAGTTATTTTTGCAAATAAAAAAATTGGAGTTAGTGGCTTTGTTCGATAAAGTAAGTGCTATTTTCTTAAATTTCCTATCAAAGCGTGGAGCTTTCAAAAATTAAGAAAATTGGAAAAAAAGAAAAGTTTTCCTGTTTTGCTTCTATTTCGTTAGAGGTTAGGGGTTTCAAGTGAAGCCTTCTTAATGCAAAATTTTCAAACGTTTCTAGAGATACATGCAATTTATAACTCAAATGCATGACTGATTTTTTTTAGATAACAAAACTTGGTGATTATTTTTTCGGTCAAAATTTTGGCAAATGTAAATATTGATAAGAATAACAAAAAATGCCAGGTCTGCATGTAAAAATTGAAGTTATGGGTCTATTCTCATCAACTAAGAGCCAAATAAGCCAAATTTCCTATGAATGCGTAGAATTTTCAAAATAATAAAACGTTTTTGGAAAAATGTTATGCGAGAACCCTTAGTTTCTGATTTATTTTTATTTGCAATAACACTGTGTCCGGCAATAATTGTTTTTGCTTTCAATATTTTTGAAACCGCTCCTTGGCCAACAGCGAGACGTTAACTTGTGGTAAAATTTTACAAGTTTTGTCTAATTAAATAAAACTCTTACGGTTTAGAAGATACCAATAGTTTCCCCTATCCATTATCACCATTATATGAATAAATTATTCTTGTCCGTGCTTTGAGTGGATAGAAATTAAATTTGTCTCTTCAGATATTGGTTGGTAACTCGTTAGAGGTCAGAAATTTCTAGTAAAACTGTAGTAAAATCTAATACAGAGAAGAATAGTATTCAGATAATATATTTCATATATTTTCAAATCTAGAAAGAAAACGTATACGTACGACTAAATGTATAATAAGTTAAACGGGAATTATGACTTGTTGACGATATTTTCGACCGCTCCCGAAGCATAAGCTGGTTTAAATTTAACTTTTCTGTTTTTCTCATCATCTCGTTAGAGATTAGGGATTTCAAGTGAAGCCTAATTAAGCCGTGATTCGGTTTTTATAATTTTTATATCACACTAATGTTTAAGAAATCCACTTTCGAATCGGTCCTTAGAATAATTGCGATATTTTCACCCGTTTATCAAAATCTCTAAAAATAAATAAGTAAATTTCTAAAACCTAAATCGCCCCAAACGAAATTGAGTTGGTTTGACGATTAGGTCCCTATAAGTATAACTTTAAATGTAACAATATATTTTGTTTAAAACATAAAAATGCTGTGTTAATACAGTCACCACTTAACTCCCAGAGATCAATACACCCTGTTCCATTATGAGGACAAAACAGTTTAAAAAATCGTACTCACCTTCAAAAGCTCTTCTTCGATGTGTTCTTCTGTATAAACGTTGACATCGATTAGATCCACTGGTACTGCCAAAGCTTTAGCGGTCAGCAATACTGCTCGAACTCCTTGATTCATGTCGCTTCCGAAGAGTTTTGGAGGCATCGTTCTTCTTGATACTCAAAACCAATCGTTGAAGCAACCAGCAATATTCATAAAATATTCTGCAGCGAATATAATAGATATTGTGCCGGTAGAAGAATGAATGGCCAACCTTTGATGTCCTTCAAATAGTTTAAGCGGACTGATGTGAATGGCCTAGAATAGTTTATGTATTTTCAAATTAAACTTCACAGATTACGTGTTACGTTTTTTGTTCTGTTTCGTCATTATCTTGGCGTAAGTTCAGTTAGGTTTTGTCTTTTTCTGAATGAAGTGAATTGGAAAATTAATGACCGTTTCTTTTGGCGCATCTACGAGACGAACGGATTTCTCGTTATTGTGGTAGTAGTGGGTTTTAGTTTGATTGATTCAATATAAAACTGAAACGCGTTTATTGATACATGACTTGCTGTTAAAACCGATTAGGATTTGGAATTTGCAAAAAATTTCTTTATACTTTGTATCGAAAATTGAAGGCTTTTGAACGTTTCAATTTTTGAAAAGATCAGAGTAATATCAGGTTGCCCCGTAAGAGTGTCAACAAAAAGTTCGGTTTGAACAGGCAATCACGAAATTTACTTTGAAAAATAATGTTGAATAAACTTACTTGCAACTGTGACAATAAATGTCGAATTAAACATTTTTTATTAATTTGTTAGTAAAGAGGGATTCATCCATTGAACGATATTAATTTTACTGTTTAAAACACAAATTCAAATGTTTGATAACTAAAAACACGAGTTGCTATCCAAAAATATACCCTTGCATTTATTGTTTAATTGATTAGGAATTTACAGCTTTTCGATATTAATCGTATTGCGTTATATTCTGCCGGATTCCACATTACTCAAGCTTGCTAAATTTCCTGTAATTTTTGCAAAACTGTTCGCTTATTAGCTTTATGAAGATTATTATTTGGTTAGTCCGTTCCGATTTCCCGACTTAACCCACCTTGACATTTTACGTAAAGTGTTTTCTGGAAAATCGTCGTTTTTCTGGTCTCTAAACAAAATAGTGAATTGAGACAAATTTAAGAGATGCTATTGTAAGGCATTAGCGTAAAGCAAAATTTTCCTTCTGTTATTATTTCTTAATTTCTTACTACCCAATAAAAAAATGCGTATTTTCCAAAGGGTTTTTGTAAAAGCTAGTCAGTGTATAAATGATAGATTGAACAAAAATTTTGCAAATGGTTAAGTTACGATATAGTATGAATTCATTTCGCTTCAGTCAATTTAAAGACGAAATCGGCTCTTGTTATGTACATTGTCAACATTTTTGCCAAAAATATCACACCTCAGGTTTTCAACACCCTGTACATCGAAACTGGACACGAATGGAACCAAATCAGGTTCTAACCATCATATAAACATGATCCCGTATACCTACAATTCGTCTAGTCAATACAAGCTGTTAAAAGTTAACTTTTTTCAGTTTCTTTTCAATTTCTCAAATTTGCAAGTAGAGGTTGCTTATTAGGGCTCTATCCTTAATTATGACAATCAATTGCAACAATCTGCAGGGAGAAGCTTACTCGCAATCATATTTTTCAACGTTTATTGTCCCGTGACTCTCAAAATTTCTTTTCTTGGACGTTAATGTTTTGTTCCTTAACATTTAATTTTCTGTTTAATTTGGAACCTCTTTTTAGGTTTTGCCCTGTTTTTGAATGGTTTTCAAGTTACTTACTTATGATGTGAGCTATAATTGAATAATAATACCAAAAAATCGTGTCAAAAAAACTTGTAACGGGACAATAAACAATGTGGCAGAAAAAAATTTCAAAAACAAAACTAAACACAATTCAAATCGTTTAACCAAATTTGGATGGCGCATTAATTCTAGACATTTTAATTCCTTCGGTGTTAAATTTGGGTACCTACTAATCTAAAACTCATGGTTTCAGAAAAAAATTTAAATTTTATACTCTAAATGTCCTCAATAATTGATTATATTAAAAGGAGTTGTATGCTACAACTTTAGTTGAGGAACGAAAGTTACAATTTTTAATAATTAATGAAATATTTGATTTTGAAAACCATTCTGAAATATTTGGTATCACCAACTGTATTCTTAGGTAATATGTAAATCTACCTCAACTTTCAAACACCCAAATAATTCCATCATTAACTAGTTTCTTCCTATATGCCTCGTTCCATGAGCAGGTGCAAAAATATTTTTTTAATGCCAGTTAAAAAAATTATATCGGGTACTTATATTAAATTAAAAATTTCAACTGAGTTATAGGTCATCTACATTCGCACCGATTGTCATCAGATTCGAAAGACAATTGGTAATAGTCAGAAAAAGCTTCCGAGAAAAAAATGAAAATCTAGGTACCTAACTGAACCACATTCTAGAAGTTAGACAATGTCCGAAACAAAATGATCACAATTTTTTTGATTATTCGAGTAAAACGAGACCGATTGCCGCTACCGCGATTCGCGATTGTCTGCGATATTCAAGCGTTTCGCAACTGACATTCGACTGTTTCAGGCGCGTTCTGAACCAAACGCCGGCTGGATGCACTTTCCGAGTGTTGAGCTGGTGGCGGCCAGGGAAATCAATAAAACGTCGCCGCTAGTTTTAGTCCTATATGGTTGCGTTTCATCGAGATAATCCGAGTGTCCATGGACATCATTCTCACCTGTATCGCATGTTTTCGAATCTTCTCCTTCCACTTGAACTTGCTTCTTGCTTGCTTCTTCGGGTTAGATCAGTTTTTTTAAACATTTCAATAGGTCAACGTCTTCTTACCATAGCCCCATAAGTTATTTTTGGCAGAAACTTAATTTATTTCATTCATTTGAATTCAGTGGTTTTCTTGAATTCAGTTTTTTTTTCAAATTATTGTAGGTCGGTGATTTCTTTATCTATTCATGAGGTGTTTTGTATTTCATTCAATTTGTGTTTCAATAATCACTAAGGCATGTTAAAATATAATCTCGGTTCACCACACTTAAACTATTTAAATGTATACATTTTCTCAGTATTTCAAAAAGAGTCATTTAGTCTGACATTCTGACTATTTTCATTGAAATCCACCAAAAGCTTAAAACGAACAAAATAGCCTTCTTGCAAATATGAAGTATCWTCTTTCAGCTTAAGCGCATTAAATCACTTTAAACTTTCAACTTTCAACAAATTTAAAAAGTCYTTGCASTAGAAGCCAAAATTCTGTTGTGTCTATTATTTCACTCATGGTTTATTGCTCCGATTTTTAAGAAGATTCGGACTCGTTCATCGGGACGGTTCATCGGACTTCAAAGAAATTCACTTCTTATTATATAATATCCAATAATTTCAAAATCACTTTTGAAATTATTGGATGTCCTGAAATCACTGTCTTTTTTATGTAGGTACATGCCAATGTGTAATATTTTCTCTCGTGTAATTACTCTRAACCAAACGCTGCTCTAAAATATGCAATACATCTTTTTTATGTTCTTAAATTTTTGTTCGCTAATAATTTATTTTCGAGCTGCGTTTAGGCAAGTTTGGTTCTTTCCCAACAATACTTTTCAATTTCGAGTTTTCACAGTAAATAATAAAAAATATTTGTGACTCAAAAAAGTAGTACTTGCAATTCAAGCGAATTTTTCATTAGCAATTGACCCCTGAGCACAGTGTAAATGAGCATATTGTACAAAAATCCAGGTGGTGCATATCTGGCTATCGCGCTATCCAAGCTATTGAAAAACTATTAAGTAAATAGTTTTTCCTAAAAGTCCTTACACTAAGATTATTAATACTCCTACTATTTTTGTCAAAGAAATTAATATAAAGTACGCATTTTCACACATGTACAAAACAAAAATWAAMATTTTGATAATGATGTTCCTGTTTCAAATATCAATTTATCTGATGCTTCTGGTTTGAAGCAACTGCAGACCTCRAATTGGAAAATCTCTGGAAGTATTTTTCTACAGTTGTTTTGCTCGAAACTTAGGTACAGGTATAGAAATTCKATTACCCCCAWCGAAGCTAAGTAAAGCTGTTTAAATTACTTATTAATTAAAAATATGAAAAGCAACTTATTAAACATTTATCTAAKWAMRRRTTGCATAATTGAAAAATAGTTGAAACGAATTATCGTCGWTGGTGTATCAAAACGATTAAWTKAAAAATAKTTTAATTTATGCGAAAGTCGCACTCGATAATTTTCAGTATACTCGAAACATCAGTCAGTCTTGTTCTATTCATATTTTAAAAGTTTCCGTTGTTTATAAACGATATAATATAGCTGTTTAAATGTTATTTATTGCGAAACTCAATGAACTTTCCTAATGAGTTTCTTAACAATATTTTTTGATTTGTACGTACTTACTGAACAATTGTTTACGAAAATTAGGGCTTTTAATAATCGAGTAATTTTTTTCAAATGGTAGGTGATTTGGGGAGTAAATAAAATAAAAGTAAACAGTAATAGATATTGAGTTAAATTAAGAAAACTTTTTTTGTTTTCGTATCGAAGAAATTAGCTGTTAGTAATCCAATTTCAACTTTTTTATAACAGTTATTTAAAATAATATTAATCACCGTTGTTTCATAATTAAATTATTATAACAAAGTTAAACCAAGCAACATCAAGTTGGCTAATACATTGTAAAAATTTCGTAACATAAATCCCGATTAAAAAAATTGAAAGCAAAATTCTTCCCAGAACCCGCTCAAATAATATTTGATTTGCTGTTTTGTACTTGTACAAATTAAATTTTGTCGAAGKTTAAAATATKTTTTTCTGGGCACGGCACTTGACTTTTTGAGATATGTATATTWGTTACCGGCAATGTGCGAAATATGGCAGTGTGCAAAATGCCTAGYCATTCTGCAAACTGACCAACTTGCCAGGCATTTRGGCACTTGCAAACTACTTTGGGCAATCTGCACATTGACTACGGTATTTTAGGTAATCTGCAAAATGCCGTACGCGTTAGTCAATGTGAGTGTCACATATATTTAATATTCACATTGACTAGACAATGTGCATGATACCTGATGTTTATTATGTTGCTTTATTATGCTAAACTTTGTTTGWTGGCGAGCGGAAAGAAAGGYACACTTTTRGTGMAMGTAAACTAATTATAATATATGAATTTAATTRCTAATTTAATGGGAAAATACTATCTTGTGTTACCAAATACAAAACAATTTAATGTRATAAGATTATTTACCACTAATATYATAWTTTTTCAACCACATTAAAGTACCTATGAAAGCATCAATTATTAGCTYCWCAACCGCGGAAGTTATTTAAACTTTTGTGCACACTCTCAAAATTAGGCTATCAGTTTGTTTTCATTAACGATATTTACATATTTCCAGCACATCGTTTCTCGAAAATCTTGTATCTTGTTTCATATTTAGCTTTTGATTTTTCACTGGAAAATATGTCCCCTATTCATTACACTGATTTCCATTTAAAAATAAACAATATGTAAACCCGAATACCAAACTACTGAAAAATCATTTTTTTTGCACGACGCTAATGCGACAGGAATAGAAACCAACTAATAATCAATAGGCAACATTGAAAACGCGGTAAATTTTACAAAGTTGTTTGCTACTAAGTTCCGTTGCAACACCAACCAGCAAAGTTTTAGGCAAGGCAAGATGTATGCAAGATTCAACATATCTAACACTCAGATTGACTAGCGCGTACGGCATTTTGCAGATTGCCTAAAATACCGTAGTCAATGTGCAGATTGCTGAAAGTAGTAGCGGTTCTGCAAAATGCCTGGCGAGTTGGTCAGTTTGCAGAATGTCTAGGCATTTTGCACATTGCCGGTAACATATTCATTTCAAAGAAAGTTGAATAATTGTCTTTTATAGCTAAAATGAAGCCAAATAAGAGGCTGTCTAATGAAATTTGTAAAATCGGTTATTGAGCGTTCATCAACTTTCCGACAAAAAAACCTTCAATTTCTATGGTTTACAGTTCTGAAAGGCCGCTAGTTTTGTTAGATTTTCTTTTTTTGAAAGGTTGTGATAATCTCAATTTGTAAGACATGCTTAATTAATTAATTTTTTATTATAAACGCATATTAACTCCTTTTCCTGATTAGTTAACACTCTATTCTTCAATTCTCATCTAAGGTCGCAAAATCAATTTTTCTGAGCAAAGAATTTAAATCCTATAATTCTTTGAACTTTCTGTGCTTCGTTCTTTTTTTTCAGTTCCATTTTTTATTTAAAAACCTACTCCTATATCTGAAGCCAATTGTATTATTCTATATCTTACATTAGTTAGTTGATTATTTAGTAACGTTTCAACTTCTGTTATAGTGCCGAATATACTAGCAATATTCTCTTTTCTTGTGTTAACTTTATGTGAATTGTGAAAGTTCCAAACGTACTGAACAAATCTCACTATTTTTTCCGATTTGAATCAATAGGTTTTTCTCATATTTCTGTTAGATGGTTCAGATTTTTTCAACACCTAGTTCTTCTTTTGCCCCCGGATTAAAAACTGTTGCTGCTGCGAGCCTACTTGACATTTTATTGGACTATCACGAGGGATGTCTACTCCCCATTTTGTCGCAACGAGTCTGTTTTTTTACGTATTCACCCCGTTTTGATTATCCTTTTGCTTCATTTACCCAACTTTTACCTAAAAAGCTTGATGTACATAAAAGCCCACGAATCCACTGCTCTGTTTCGGGTGTTTTCCAGATACGCTTTCCCGAGGTCGTTGGCCTGATGGTCGAAAACTTGCCAAGACGATCTGGAATAATTTCCCACTGCGGGCGAATTATCGACAGGGTGTTGCTGCGTTTCGATAATGATCAATCTGAATTTGTAATCAGTTAGTTTGCTGTTAATTTCCAGGTGGAAAAATCTGGAAAGCGCCTGCAGGCAAAGAAAGGGCGTAGGGTGACACGTTTCATATTGATCTATTCGACACAAAATGAATTGATAATAAGGCAATGTGCTAGTTCCCAGCAGGTTCCTTTTAAGGGCACAGTTTCGTACGCTTTATTAGCCAGGAACACTTTCAAAAAACTTTGAACTCTCGTATTAATAAAGCGGAGGCAAAAGCAAAGTATTCTATTGATTTGATACCTTCTTTATAAATTATTACATTTCATATATCTTTTAATATATTCTAGGTGAATTTATAGTTATAGAAGGTAAGAATAATTTCTAGTTTGAGTTTTCAATTGAGACTTGAAACGAGCAGATTAGAATGATTTAAACACAATTTAACTCTCGCTCATTACTTTGTACTCATATCTTTGGAGGACTTTTGAGGATAGACAGTGCTGGTTAACTACTTACTTAGGTACTATTAAGTTAAACGTATGTAGAATTTTCAATTAACGTTTACATTTGTCAGATAATCACTTGTGTTAAAAGAGCAACGAAACTGTTTCTTCAAAAGATAAAAGCAAATTAGTTTTGTTTCGAGATCTACGAACAATTTTATGAACTTGGTATTCATACTATAATAACCCTGTGCTTTTAGCATTTAGATCTTTTGGCTCTTGTCATGCAATTTCTTAGTTGTTTATTTCTCCTGAATATAAAGCAATTTTGTAGTTCAGG